TTTTTGGTTTTTTTGGTGTTTTTTCATGGGGGGTGGATATCTGTCTAGAGATGTTCTGTACATCTGTGGCAAACACTGTTAGATAGTTCCCCAATAACCATTCCTCACTTTCTCTTCATAGATGTTAATTTAAATTTTCTTAAACATCAATAAGCCTAGCTCCAAGCAGTTAATTATGCTTGGGGTTCATCCTAGCCATCCAGCATCTTCTGCCAGCTGCTTCGTTTCCAGGCCTCTCTGTCAGCCCACAGTTCCCCAGCCTTTTTGTCTGAGCATAGAAATGATACTCAAGGGGCTAGAGAGACGGCTCAGTGGTTAACAGCACTAGCAGCTCTTGCACATGACCGGGGTTCAGTTCCCAGCACTCACCTGGCAGCTCACGACCTCCTGAAACTCCAGTTCCAGAAGATCTGATGCCCTCTTTTGGCCTCTGCAGGCACTGTACACATTCGGTACGCTTACATACACACAGGCAAAGCACTCATACACACAAAGTAAAAATAAATAAATCTTCAAAAGAGAAACAACACAAAATAGATGTTGCAGCTGTCTTGCATCTTGCAACCATGAGGATGCAATAAGGATGAAAACCCTGGACAGCAGATCTGTCTCCTTGAAGCATCTTATCAAGGGAGGGAATCGTTTAAGCCATTCATTGCTTCATTTCCTATTAGTCTCAACTCAAATCACTCCTGACTGCTGATATTTACAAGGGGAGGAAAAGGTGGGGACATGAGACTGTAACAAAATCCTGACTCAAACTGGATCAAACAATTAGGACATTTATTATCTCGTTGCTGTGTATGATGCATTCTGAGGAGACATGAACACATGTCTACTCACTCCAGATAGGGAATGAATGACAGACCAAAGTAAGGATACTGCCACAGTCCAGCTTGTTGAAAGACTAAGTTTGTTGTGGTTACTTACAGGAACATGTGTGAAGGGTCACATACAGGGTCATGGAAGACTCAAAGACAACTTCATTACCAAAAAGCCCACCCTAGCATGGGTGAGGACTCAGGAAAGCTGAAATCCTGGAATTCTCTGCATGACTTGCAGTCAGCTGGACAGGAAGTCTCTCTTTAGCAGACTGCTTATATAACATCTGGTCAGTTTCAGGGACTTCCTGAGATTTGTGAGTTGTTTGCTTCCTGAGTCTTTTTTTCTGTGTATGACTGTATTGCCTCCTGCATGTGTCTAAGTGCTCCGGTGTTGTAGAGCACCTCCAGAGGTCAGAAGAGGGCATTGGATCCCTTGGAACTGGAGTTACAGATGGTTAACCACCATGTGGGTGCTAGGAATCGAATCCAGGTCCTCTGCAAGAGCAGTCAGTGCTCTTAATGGCTGAACCATCTCTCCAGTTCCGAATTTGTTCCTAAATTAGTCTTTTAAATTCTTTTCCCTTTTGTGTGTGTGTGTGTGTGTGTGTGTGTGTGTGCGCGCGCGCGCGCGTGTGCGCGCGCGCGCATGCACTCCTATAGGTCAGAGGACAGCTTGTTGGAGTTAGTTTCTCTACCATGTGTGGGTCCTGAGGATCAAACTCAGGTCATCAAGTTTGGCAGCAAGGGCCTTTACCTGCTGAGCCATCTTGCAGACTGCTGCAACATAAGTTTTGAGCCCACAAGACAGACGAAATCCAGCACAGAGTGTGGAAGTGGGTAAGAAACCCTAGCTCTACCTGAGGAAGTACTAGCAAGTGATGACTGCTGGAAGGGAGAGCCGGTTTAAGGGTGAGACTCTTGGTATGTTAACCAGGCTCCCGTGGATAAACCCACACTGAAGGGCATTGGGGGACACAAATTTGACTCTATAGGCATTTAGAAATTGGGGATGGGGGTAGTAAGGGGGTGCAGATAGGGGAGAGGATCTAAATATGATCAAAATATATTGTATGTAATTTGCAAAAAGTCAATGAAAAATGAGTCAAAAAATAACTAGAACAACATCAACAACAAAAATAACCCTCAAAAATATAGTTCTTAATGAAAGAACACGGATGTCTCCT